CCCTTCCACAGTACTATAAGTAGTCAACAATGAGCGTCACATACGTCACATATACTAATAAGCAATACTAATCAGGAGGGATAATCGAAGTACTAATCCAAAATAAGCAGAAATTGAGCTGCACCTTGTCAGAAAACGAGAGATAGCAAGCGAGCCCCTCGCAGCGGTGAACAGTATATTTATTATCAATACTGGGGGTCCCAAAGTTATTGGCGCCAAAATTCAGAAGTTTCTAAGGTAGAACTAATCTATCGGATTCACATTACCTGTTATCAATTAGCTGCATAAGATATTTTCCTTGCAATGTGCATGGTTACTTATGCGTAACTCCAATATCTTTTAGATAGAGGAGCGGCATTCAATGCCACTTGCAATCATTAACACGCGAGAGGTGGAGGGGCATTACGAAATGTCTTGGGATTCTCATAATAACCGTATAGGAGGTTATTAAGCGATATAGAAAAGAAGATTGAATCAAAGACAAACGAGGAAATGTAGAAAGGTAGAGTGATTCTAAAGATAGGACTATCAAAATGGTCCGTCTGCCAATCGGCTGGAATCCTGGGTGACCCATCGAAAGGAGGTCAACGGGCACGGCTTACCGGAGTTATCGCGATGGAAGAATGTCAGACAGAAGCTTCATTGCCATTCCTATCGTACTGCATTCTGCTGCGAGCGTAGGAAATAATCGCTTGCCACCCGATATATCCAAATAGGTGTATTTGAAAACTAGATGCAGTACTTTCATATTTCTCCAGTTCAGGTCTCTGCAACGCCTAGACCTATCGAGTGGTAACTCACAAGAACGAAGTGGTCCATCACCATTGGAAATTGTCTTGATCTTGTCTCTGTTTTTGACTGCAATATATTGCAAAAGCTTTCTATCAGCTACTAAAAGATACCGTTTTGAGCATGCATACGTAAAAGCAGATTATGGCCATGCAGTACTTCACATCATCTGCTAATCAGTGGTGTTTTTCATGAAATGGCATATTTTCATCTTTTCAGAAGTTGTAAGAGCCGTGCGCTACAACTACAGTGTTTTCCTCTAGGTCGCATTATTTTGGCATAATCCTTTACCACAAGATCGATTGAAAACTTGTCCATGATTCTCGAAACACATGAGGACAGTGCCCAGCACAATTACACACCGCTGACTGCTCATTGTATCATTTTAGAGCTTTTGACTGCAGTCCCGAAAGCGAAATGGAGGTTTAACATCTCAATAAACTACCGCTCTCGACCCAAATTCAACTCAATGGCGTTACTCCGGCAATTGTTGAGTGAGAAAATTATTGCTTCTGGTACCTACCAGGTTGAGAGACTGGGAGAAAGGAAGTATCATAAAAATCCAGTGATGGCGTACCCAATGCTGCTGCTCCTCCTCATTCAGGATCTAATTCTTATGCATTCGGCGAAGATAAATGCTGATCGAATGGTTGACTGACATCCAGATAACGAGTATAAATTCAAGGTTGTCGTGATTGCTCCTCTTTGATTTATCAGAGTAGATTCGTTCCAACTTAGATACGAGTAAATGAGTAAGCATCTCCAAAGACTTTACACTGAGCTATCATGACGTTATACTTGTAACGTGAAACCAACGAGCCAAACCTAGTCTAGGAACCTTCAGAGCAACTTCTTCAGAGAAGAGTGGATTCCCTCCAAGTGCTGAGAGTTCCACCAACTACCCGTTCAATATTATGCACATGCCGCACAGTTTCCATAAACAACGTAAGGAATGCCATTAAAAGAAACCACGTCGAGATTTTCAGGGGGGTCGGACCGCTGTACATTTCTTTGGAGTTATATTGAGCTTGCCTGCATAATGATAAGGAGCACTTTTCCTCGGTGGCCATTCAGTACAACGCAGATTATGTTGCTAAAAAGGGATTGAAGAGCTCCATTGAAGAGAAGGGAGCGATGGGGATCAATTATGCTTCAGAAGACGTTTGGTGCATCCACAGAGCACGTGTCGAAATCGGAACACAAAAAAACACTATGACTCGCGAAGCTCATCAGTTTAGAGATATCTTCCAAAGTTTTGAAGCATTCGACAGGAAAGAACTAAGGAAGGATGTCGCGTGACTTGACTGAGGCATAAGTGTTGGGTTATCCGGAGAGTTTCCACCGTTTTTGTCCGCCCTGGGCTCGCCAGCTGTTGTACAAAAGAACAAGAACCTAATCATATAAAGTTATGTATTCTCTGAAAGAGCAAGTCCTCCCTATATCCTTGCCTGGTTTCCGTTAACGTTCCTCGTAACCTACCTATATAGGGCACGAGTGAGAACTGAGGACCATCATATGCATTTTCGGCCCTAGTTGCTTTTCTTCTACCGCTATGGGAGCTTCTCTGCATAGCTTCGCAAGTTCGAACGTTAGCAGGTTATTGCCTGCAGCTCGCGCGATTCCACGCTGGCATATCAGCTCAAGAGTCTTCAAAGAGAAACGTTTCTTGACATCTTTGAAACTCTCTGCCTTCCTAGCGCTATCGTGAAGATGTTCGACGAGCCGCTCGTATACTTCATGTTGTCGCTGACGGATCTTCTCTCAAACTCGTCAATGAAGCGAAGTGGTCTCAATTGACCACAGCCTTGGGGCTTCGTTTCCTGAACTTCGCAGCTCTCTCTCCACGCACTGAGAAGCGGAATCTAGCGCGGAGGAGNCGATGGTCCGGTCCCGTGTAGAACTTCGGAACAACAGCGACATCAGGCAGGCAAAACTTCCGATTGACGATGATGTGATCTATTTCATTAGGGGACTGTCCACCAGGCGACTCCCATGTTCGTCGGAAATGAGAGGGCTTCTGGAACTGCGAGTTACCACGGATAGGGTGGGTCGACATGATAAACTCGGATAGCCTTTCACCCTGCTCATTCCATTCTATTCCGTGAGTCCCGATGCGGAGCTCTTCAGGCATTCTTCTGGGGGCCAATTTTGGCGTTAAAATCACCAACGATGACCGTGAAGAAAGTATGGCCTTCTCTGTAGAGTTTCATCAGGTCCAAATAGAACGACCCCAGCTCTTCTTCATCGTAGCTCGGTGTTGGTTCTTAAACAACGAAGATTGTTAGAGCTGAGGTTGAGCCACTTCTTCTTAATCGCAAAAGTCCGATTGGGGTTGTTAAGTTTTCGTACTAATCGATTTTCATGGCCAAGTGCGTGTTGGGGGTTGTTAAGTTTTCGTACTAATCGATTTTCATGGCCAAGTGCGTGTTGGCGAGGACACCTACACCGCCGACGCCTCTGCTGTCGCATGTTCCAAGGAACAGTTTTTCTCCAAATACAGCGTGCAGGTGCCTTCTCATCTCGGTCAGTCCGATGACGTCGTACTTGATTTTCCTAGCTTGCATCATCAGGTTTTCTATGCACGCTTTCGATGCAAGTGCCCGTGCTTTGGGAGTACAGATCGCCATCACAATCCTTCTCCTTTTGAGCAGCCTGTTTTGGCCTTGAGATTTTAGCAGCCTCTCCCGAGCCGTCCTTCCCAACGCTGCCGTATTGGGGGCTCCCTCAGGTTCAGGGGAATGAGGCCCATTTCTGTTATGCTTTTGGCATGAATAACCACGTGTAACCTGCCAGGCTCTAGCACGTGGGGGGTCTACTCTTAGCCGAGTTGACATGCGGACGTGCCGTTAATTTATATACATATATTTTTTACAAATATAATTGAATGAATAATGAAAGCCCCAAGCAAAGTTACCACCGAACAGTAGAAAAATGCTGGCGAAAGCTTTCGGACCATACAAGCCGACATCTGATGGTAAATGCGAAAGCACGTGGCAGGGCAACAGGTTGCCTCCCTTTTGGTAGATAGATATTCCCCCGAGCGAGTCCTTGTCCTTAGTCCAGAACGCAGTGATTTAGACGTAATGTACCAGGGCTTGCCGTGTACAACTTAACGCGTGAAGAACGAATTAAACCGCGACCTCGGGCGGACGGGTAAGGGGGGCTCAAGCAAGGGGGCCGCCATCCCTCCAGTTCCTCGAAAACTACTCTGCCATAGCTTCAAACGCGAAGCGGCAAGCCGGTAAATATAAAGCCTCGCATAACTTGAAATTACCGGAACTTTGCATTGGAGCACATGACGAAATACTGAAAAAATTACAGAAACCCGCTTTTTTATTTGAACAAGAGTGGTGGGCGGACACGCCCACACACCGCACGCTCACATACCCATCGCGTTGAGGTGGCAGGCTAGCGGGAGGAGCCAACATCTATATGAGGATAAATTTTTCTACTATCGACTCCGTCCGAGGTAAGCACCACCACAATCAGAATTGTAGGTGGCCCATAGAGCGACGGATTTGAATTCGCGAGCAAGCTTGAGTGATAGTCGGCCACTTGTCACTTTACCATCTCTGCCCTATGATCATCGATAAGCTTGCTGATTCTCAAAAACCTGTCATTTTGAACATAGCGGTGGGTTGAAGGCAAATTTCACTGTAATTTTGAGGTGAATTTTTATGTTGGAATGGGAAGTGATGGCGGAAACTAGTACTTTGGTGGTGTAGAAAGCGAGTAAAACCGTCAAAGCCGCGAGAAACAAGGCTCCCAAAAGCTTTGAAAGCAGAAGTTGTAAAAGTAAAAAACAGAGAAAATAGAGATTCCACCGCGGAATTGGCATGACACGGGGACATGAACAAGACTCGTGCTTTTGCAATCGAGTAAAGAGTGAAATCATTGAGGAAAATGTTCAAAATTAACTCCTTTTATGTTCGAAACGTTGAAACTCGTCCGCCTATGTGTATGTCATACAGCAGATACAATCTTTGAACTCTTTTTATGCCCTCTCCAGGTCGTTTCTCGTTCTGACATCTCCGCATAAAGTATGGGCTGAGGCCCCAACTCATCCTAGGGGACATCTCAGAAACCATTTCCTTAGTGACCTGTGCCTTTAATAGATTTTTGTGATCGGCAGAACTTACCAATACGATGAAAGGATTACCGTACTAGATATAATTCGGGACTACGTTCTCTAATGTGGCTTGGTAAATGCGGGTCCCACTCAATAATGCTCGTTTAATTTAGCTTGGAAAAACTTATTTCTTCCCAGAATACAGTTCACAATTTCCCGTTCAAGTCTGTTCCTTTTCACGTGCTTGCCAGCTATCGCTCTCATAACATATCCCATACTTTTATTTTTGTAATTTATTTTTAGTAGTTTATGTCTGTGACATTCCAATTCCGTGCGCAAACATAAAGGTTTAGCGGAACTTCATACTCAGCTCAACAAAGTAACACGAACTTCAGTCACCGAGGCCAACCATTATGAGATTCCATTATGGTGTTCACAGCGCCATCTACCGCTATTTGGACGAGTTGCGTCTTTCCACTTACTGCTGATTGAGGAACCCTTTACGCTTTTTCTCATTTTACTGATGAAGGCATTACGCCGTGGAAAATTAAAAAAATGTCTTGAAAATATGCTGCTGCATCTTAAATCAATAGAACGAACTTTATTGGCTTTCAATGCCACATGAACAGTTGATCTTCTTGAAGTACAACTTGATCGGTCTAGGCGGTGCATATTTCTGAATTGAGAAAATATGAAAGTGCCACCACTCGGATTTTTTGTCAAATAGTGATGACCTGAACAGAATGGGTGGTTGGCGTTGTAGCTCCTACGCTCGCAGCTTGCAAATTCCCTCACTACCGGGACGTATAGTAGTTGTCTAGCCCCAATGTGCTCCCTTGCTACCTCTCCCTCCAAGACAAAGTGACACACAATTTCCGTTTGTTATGATCCAGTACTCTGGTCATTATTGGTTAGCATGTGATCAATATTATTGTAAGCTATTTACCATCAATGGCTACTATAATTATTACCACCGAAATGGTTCGCGTTCTTATCCACACCTTTAGCCCCAACAAACACAGCAACAAGGAAGTGATTTCGACGCGTGCGATAGAAGCGGCGAGCGTTGAGCGCACGAGATCACACACCCGAACACTTTCAGCTACATATGTATATCATTGATGTCACTGTAGTACAAGTACAGTAAAACCACTGACTATATTTTGCTATCCCGGGGAACTTTTTCAGAAGTTTAGAGCATGATTTTTTCGAAATCTTGCCTCGAAACTTAGATTCGAGCCTGCAATTGACAAATTTCTTAAAATAACTACAGAGTTTTTTATAGCTCCAGGTACAATTGTATGACATACCCGTTCCAGCTTTTGAAGATAGATGGCCTCTTCAATTTGGGGTTCATTCCGCTGTGAATAAGCTGAAACGACATATAGTGCGAAGGCTACGTAAACTTAGTATGAACACCTGGAATTGATACATAGAATGGCTTTGCTGTTGAAATGAGAGGAGTTTCATTGCTTTGCTTATGGGTACAACGTCTATCATTGCTTTGCTTATGGGTACAACGTCTATTTGAGCAACATGGATCACTCCACTTAACACTCGCTAATCGTCAGCTTGAGACTATGTATACCGAACTTTTGGTGAACTCCCTTCAGGGTTCTGGAATCAGTCCACCGCAGGGCAGGAAGCAAGGCACCAAACGCTTTGGCCTTTCTACAGTCGCTCATGTTGGCACCAAGAAGGTTCGTTTTATTTAAGAACACCAACTTTTCTTCAACAGTCTGTTGAGCTTCGAGTTCTTTTGCCTACCTGATCGGAAAGTCACTCGTTCATCGCAACACATGCCCATTTTATTTTTCCAGCTTAAAAATTTCTTATGTCCATTATCACTCTTTCCCCATTTTCTATATCGACGAATTCTGCATGGCTGCTTCGACGTCTTCAACAACTCTACCAGGTTTTTCTCAACATTCTCAAAGTTGCAGAATAAACCTGCGCTCCGTGGCCCGGCTGTGAGCCGTAAAAGGAACTGCCCTAGGGCTGACATTTGGTGTTAGTCAACTATGACGTATTCCTCTCCTGTGAAGTCGTTAGGTGTGCGTATGATCCCATCATAAATATCTATGACCAGAGAAAGCGAGGTTCTGGAATGCTTCCTTCTCGAGGCAATACTCAGAGAAGTAGTCGAGGTAGGCCAAATGCCATCTCCAAGTCGAGAAAGGCTAGGTAGTAGCGTGTACGCTAACCTGATACCTAACTACGAAGGTTGCCTTTTATATTTCGGGATGGAGCAACCCTAATGTTGCAACTGGCAACTGACAGCTCTATCGTAAAGTTTGACTCTTTTGAGGTCATACCTACTCAGAACGTTTTGACATATGAGCGCTCTTTGTGTTGTTTACAGTAACTTTAAAAATTTACTCAGGCCCTAGTCGCCCTCACCCCTTACTTAGGCCAAACCTTCTTCCTCCCTCACCTCCCTCTTGCCCTTTGGCGATGAGGCTCCATCAATGACCAGAGCTTACCGATGGTATGACGAAATTACTCGAGGTCGTAGTTCACTCCAAGACGAATTCCGTGGAGGTCTCCAAAATCTGTTGTTGTTCCGATGCTGTGCGCGAACTACTATCGCAAGATCGTCATATGACCTATCAGATTGGGACAACCTTAGGCATTAAAGGGACTAACAAACATTCAATAATGCATGAACATTTGACTGTAAAAAACTTG